AACATCAGTTCGGGGTATTGTATAAAATAAAAAAATGTATTCAAAAATGTTTAAAAACAAAAGTGCTGAGCAAAATGCATCCAAATCAAAAATAGTCGATTCGTACCATTGCAATGGTTTCATTGTATTGCATTGCAACGATGCAACGGTCGACTTGTGACGGCGAGAAAAAAATCACACATACACTCTTTAAAATTCTCTATGAAAAGAACAATTTTTAAGTTTTTTTTTCTTGAAAGAAATTTCACATACAAATTTTTTGATGAAAAAAAAAATAGTTTTTGAAAATATGCCATCTCAAAAAAAGTTAAAAAAAAAATCGCAATGATAGCTTTGAGTATTGCGCAATATTTAGATATAGTATTACGTGGTGCACTCTGTAACTATTTATGTTATGAATTTTTTATTACACCGAAGTTGAGTAAAATGAGTACATTACAAATTTACAGATTTTTTAATATTTTTTTTAGAATTTTTTGAGTATGCAGTTATGCAGGGATTCTGAATTCGATTCGTTTTCTATTATCGCGCAAGACAACAGCTGGATGGCATATCTATAAATTTTTGAAGAAATATCAAAGTTTTGTTTTCGACAATTTTGACTAAAATATTTCGTATTCTCAAAGTGATTTATTTACAAAGAACCTTAATGTAGCAAGTATGTGCTTAAATACTTAGCAGGTGGGGGTTACACGTGTTTTCAGTTAACTTAAATTCAACTGACCTTTGCTTATATAAATATGTACATACATATGTTTGTATGCCCTATTATTTATTGATTATTGTCCTTATTTAGTTTACATTGCGTAAGTCAAATTACGAGTACTTTTCTCTTATTTGCCTTTCGTCACTACAAGTTATTATTTAATTTCATTAGAATGCAATCAATTACAATTTTGTCATTAACATGATTGTGGTGATGACAGTATTTTTCGTCACATGAAAGTGACAGTTACATAAACTATTAATGTGTAAGAAGTATACATATGTAGTGTTTTGGGCATACATGCATATGCAATTAAAAGTTTAGAAACCACAATTTATTGCACGACCAACGAACACCAAGATAATAGACAACCGTTTATGACACTATGGTACCAAAATAGTCACTAAATAAATACACGCTAAACAAAACATAGTGAAGGTTGAAGGCAAGGTACAATATGAAAATATTTAGGTTTCTCATAATTGCTGAATATTCCACTTTTGTATTAAAAATAGCAGCTATTTTCGTATTTCATTAATTTATCTATTAACAGCTTGACTAAATATTTCTAATCGGATTTTACAAATCAAACATATTTGGAAAACAAGTTTCCGAGGCTTTTAAGATGATGTATAACAGTATATTGATAGATTTAAATTGTTGGGAGTTTGCATGGGGTAAAATTTAAAAACTCCCTATTTGTCTTAATTGTTTCAGGTTTGGCCATCGGTAATTTCAAAAATTTCTATGTAAGTGGCCAAACATGTTAATATTCATTTAAAAGTATATTTATTTTAGAACGAGCTGATACCTCGTTCAAAGAAATAGGAAAATATTAAGTAGATATAGGACCTTGAATTTATACGCGCGTAAGTATGGGACTTTTAGACCTTTTGCGCTGTGGGGCTGCGGAATTTGTTTGGGTATTATTGGTATGTATATGTATGTATGTTTGATTGAGTACTGCAGAAAATTGTTATTACTATGTTACTGAGTAAATTCAGTAGGGTATTCAACTTTATGCTGCATGTGATTTCGCTGCAGACAATTTTGTGCACTTAAGCAAAAAATGCAGCCATGCGGAAAATCCAAAATTATACGCAAATCAATTTGATGAATATGTATGCATTTATTAACCCTGCTTTGATAACTGTACTGAAAGTTACTGAGAATATAACCATAAGTCTGTGAGACGTAGTAATAAAAATTGTATGACAATTTTTTTCAAAGATATGGAGTCCTTAAATACTTATTTAGTATTTTAATGCATTTTATTTAGAAATATTTTTCAATTACCATGGAAATACCACCGATTTCAATCTTCATTTCGCGAAAGACTGGTTACATGTGCAGCAGCCGAAACCATCCCGGACTTTATTAACATTTTCTGAAAGTATACCTATCCAGTAATAAAATACTCTATGGATTTGCAAAAGTTAGCTCCAATTTTAATTTATGGCCTACTAAAATTTTCATGTCCCGGCCTAAGTACTTTTCAAAAAAGTGGAAAATAATGTTAAAATAAGTATCAGAGCGAAATTATAGGTACTTAATATAGTAAATTTTCATGCGAAATATTTTCGTAGAATATTTTAACCCATTAGCTCCCGCCTAAAAGGGTCAGTTTGACCCATACTTCAAGCAACCCCACAAAAAGCTAGTTTTTGCCCGAGAAGACCCCTAGTAAAATTTTCGAAATAATAATTCTTAGCACCCATAAATGCTCTATTGAACTTCAAAATCAGCTTTTTGAGGGATTTCTTTAAGTAAGGGTCTACACGACACTTGCAGGCGGGTGATAATTAATGGGTTAACATGTTCTACGAAAATATTTCCCATGAAATTTTACTCTATATTTCATAACCTTAAATTTCGTTCAGACAAACATATATTTCACTATTTTTTCCACTACTTAGGTTGCGACATGAAAATTTTAGTAGGCCATAAAATAAAAGCACCAGCAAGCTTTTGTAATTCATCGAGTGCTTTATTACTGGATATGTTCAAATACTTTCATAAAATATTAGATAAAAGGCTATGTTAAACGGAAACATAAATTATAGAAATCGCACCCAAAATAAAGAAGCTATAGAAAAAATTCAGGGACTGTAACTGTTGCATTTTTCAAAAAAGTCGATAAATATATTTTATTTTATCATCGATACGTTTTCGATAAAAAATTAAGTGGTGAAATTTGATTTGATTTTTCGATTAAAAATAAAAGTAATAACACGTAATATTTGTCTTTTATTTTTTGCTAAAAATAATAGTCAACATTTCTTCAATCAAAAATAACAGCCAAAATATCTCTTTTACAAACCATTTCTGTCTGACTACTTGAACTGAAATTTCAAAAATAAGTGTTATTTTCGATTCCTAAACAACCCGATTTAGCTATTTGTACAGGGTACCAAAAAATAAATGTTAACACTCCTGGAATACCCTCATAGTGAGTGTTGGAACAAATTGAACTTTTTCAAATCGGGTCATTGGGAAAGAAGTTCTGAAGAAAGCACGATGTTAGTTTTTTTAAGCTAAATTCTCATTTCAAACTATTCTCATGACCCAACCTAATCTAAATGTTTCACAAGAATAATACAAATTTCTAAAACTGCTCGAATTCGTGGATCAAAACCAAACTGTCACGACAACACAGCTGCGGAAGGTGAAATACCAAAAAAAAAAAAAATTCGTAACTATTTTGAATTGCACTCGCTAAGCCAGCATTAGAAGTAATCTGGAGTAATAGGAATTACGAGTGTAGCAAAAACATGAAAATGTGGCAAAAGAAATAAAAACACAGAACTCATGATTTTGGTCATTTGAGTGCGCAGGTGAATATGCGAGTGAACGAACGAAAGTTTTTCCGAACTGCAAAAAATAGAAAACTCTTGTTTTGGGTAAATGAAATTTCACTCATGCGTAACGTCCTCGCAACTCATGCGAACGCGGTCAAATACACATGCGAATAACTGCGCAAAAACACACACACACACACACACATGCCCTTATATGCACACAAACATATGTCGATATACATACATACATATGGTCATATAAAGCCATATGCCTTAACAAGCACTGTTTGTTTTTTCCATTTGGCTATTACTTTCGTGCACTCGCCATTGAAAATATGTACACATAAATAAGCTCATACATACATATGTTTGCATTGGTACCCAATAACCCAAATAAAATTCGAATCGCCAACAAATCGAAAGCGACCCATCAAATGTGGGGAACAAATTTTCAAAACAAAAAAATTGCTAAAGTCGATACGCAACAAAAAAAAAATGACGAGAAGCAAGCAAATATAGTAGAAAAAATGCAAAAAGTATGGTTATACGGATAATCAAAGAAAAAAGAAATTTCGTAGAACTTTTTTACGCACATAGTTGTGGCGCGCGGAATATGTTGCATCCAGCCTGACGCTCACCAACTAACTAATAGGGCAAAAGTTTGCCAACTTTGAGCAGGTGAATTAATTTACGAGAAACGATGTGCGCATAGAGGTTGACGTAGGTAAAATTCATAAAATAATAATAGCGGGCATTATTGCAGAAGAAAAAAAAAAGCATTGGAAAATTTTTTAGTTCGAAGTTAAGCATGTAAAAAATTACCTGTACTTGCCAAAAGCGAGGCGCAATTGGATTATGCAAAAAGGAGAGGGCTTGCAGTAATTTGCTAAACAAATTAAAACAATTTTAAACCAGAAAACTTCGAACATTTTTATGCTCAAGTGAGCTTTAGTTTACTTGCACTCAGATACGGCTGCAAATTTGGCATAAATTTTGAAAGCTGATGAATTGGACAGCTGGGATTTAATTAATGATTGCAATGGAAGGTTAGATATTTAATGTATGTATTTTGTTTTGCCTTTTTAAGACACACACTATTACCACCCAGTTTCAAGAAAGCAATTAAGTGACTAATCACTTTTTTATTTGAATTTAATATGAATATATTTCAAAAATTGCATTTCATTCATTAGGGTGGAGCGGAAAAAAAATGTTTGTTTAAGCCTGAATCACTAATGGATCATCGTACCCACAGGAAAGCAGAGAGGACTCCCCATGAAGGATACCTCTGTTGTCTGGTCTACGAATAATAGCTCCCCAACTGATCATTGTTATAGCCCTCATTTTATCGACCTTTTAATTATAACTTTGCCAAAACAATTCATTGAAATTAATGCTTAAATTTTTAACTGAATTTCCTATTTAGTTCCTGTATCATCATTTCCACCAAGTTTCATTGATTGAATTTAATTTTAAATCTTGATTTTTTCTTGCAGATGCTGCAGTGCTAAACAAAAAATATTTCGAGTTCAACTCGGAAGCGTTGAACATGCAAATTAAAAACTCAAACAAAATCAAAAACATTTCAAGCGAAACTAGTTAGTAAATCATATAAACTACTTATTAAGGCTTTTGAAGATTATTCGATAAAAAGTAAATTTAAGCTCTCAGAAAAAAGTAAACCCAAAAAAGCAAAAAAAAAAACAAACGATTACTCCAACTGCCTCTTATCCATTATTATCCACCATTACTTGGGCAACCAACAACACTAATCTTCATTGAATATTATGCAAATAAACGGCACTTCTTCTGGTCCCACAATGGCTGCGTCTGAGCCACCAGAACCACCGCCGCGCAATCCGGATCGCATTAACGCTTCGCTGCACAAACTGAGCGAATCTGTAAGTACATACATGCACGTACAAACCAATGCATCTATTCTCCCTCACTTTTCTTTGCTACTCAATCACGCAAAAAAATTACGAATGTAAACTAGAAAAATAAGCGAAATAAAAATGCTCTTTTCTCACCATTTCGACGTCTTCAATATTTTTATGTTTAAAATGCATGTGTATGTTTGCACCTTCCATAAAAACATTCCTTTGAGCACGAGCAAAATGCGAAGAAGAAAACGTAAGAAATGTGTGAATAGAAAATTTTTAATTTTTTTTTGCATGCCCTTTCTAACTCTGCTCAACCCTTCACCGCATTCTTTTCCACACTTTCCACCTTGGCAGCTGTGTGCATTCCA